TTCCACCTGCTGACCCTTGCCCTCCTGTGTCACACCCAGATGTGGCGATGCAGCTTAATGCAGGTGTGTTTGAGTACAATGGGCGCAGTGGGTACCTGCTCAAGCCCGAGTTCATGCGGCGGCCGGACAAGTCCTTTGATCCCTTCACTGAAGTCATCGTGGATGGCATCGTGGCCAATGCCTTGCGGGTCAAGGTGGGGCCGGGAGGGCTCAGACCAGCGGAGTCCTGGGGGTGGATCTCAGCAGCCACTTCACCCTCCTTGGCCCACCCCCCCCCAGGTGATTTCGGGGCAGTTCCTGTCTGACAGGAAGGTGGGAATCTACGTGGAGGTGGACATGTTTGGTCTCCCTGTTGACACGCGGCGCAAGTATCGCACACGGACCTCACAGGGGAACTCGTTCAACCCCGTGTGGGATGAGGAGCCCTTTGACTTCCCCAAGGTGAGCCTGGCCCCGCACCTGCCCTGGGACAGGTGGATCCAGCCCAGACCTGCTGGGCTGTCACATGGGGAACAGGAACCAGGCATACTGGCTGCAACTGGGGATCACATAGTAGGGGGGGTACAGAGGGACCTCCCAGGCTGTGTGTGTTCCAGGGTCAGGGTGAGAGAAAAGAACGAGAAGGTGAGATGGGGAGGGGAGTGCCAGAAGGAAGTCCCAAAGCCCCCAAGGAGGAGTGACACAGCCCCACCTTCTAGGCAGGAAGGACTTGCCTGGGATCATATCCCAAGTTCTTCCCCGCCTCTCACAGTCCCACGTGGGTGGGGCTTCTGCTCCTGACCTGGGCTGGGATGTGGCCCAGTTCCAGACTCATGGCCCACTCCATGGTTTCTAAGCTGGCAATGACCAGACTTGTTCCATGGTGGCCCTGTGGGCGTTGTCTGCCTGGCCTTGGCTCAGGGCACTGATGGTTGCTGGTGATTCATTGGGCCATGCCATGGAGGTGTGGGTCAGCTGTCAGCTCAGTGGCAATGGTGACCAGCGATCAGTCATTGGTTACCTTGTCTGAGGGTCCACTCTGAGTGTTAGGCCTTGGTGGCTGTGGTCAGCTGTGGCCCAGTGGCCATGGCGGCCGTGGCTCAGCATCAGTCTGGGCTTACAGGTGGTGCTACCCACGCTGGCTTCGCTTCGCATTGCGGCCTTTGAGGAGGGCGGCAAGTTTGTAGGGCACCGGATCCTGCCTGTCTCGGCCATTCGCTCAGGTGAGGCCTGGTGGGGCTCTGGCAGCATGGGGGTCAGTGTGTACGGGGACTTGGCTGGGCCCAGCCATGTTGGCCTTCTGCCCACCCAGGGTACCACTATGTCTGCCTGCGGAATGAGGCCAACCAGCCCTTGTGCCTGCCGGCCCTGCTCATCTACACTGAGGCCTCTGACTACATCCCTGATGACCACCAGGGTGAGCTGGGTGGGCAGGGCAGGGTCAGGCCAGGGAGGGTGAGGGACAAGCGACCAGCCACCAAGGTGTGGGAGTGGCTGAGCCAGGTGGCCCCAATTCAGGGTGGTAGAGAGACCCAAGGGCAGGGTCTATAGTCCTCCATTGAGACCAGAGCTGGTGGGGAGGGCGTGGCCCTGGGGGACTCTGTCCTGAGACCCTTGCCTTCTGCCTCCTGCCCAGACTACGCCGAGGCCCTGATCAACCCCATCAAGCACGTCAGCCTGATGGACCAGAGGGCCAGGCAGCTGGCCGCCCTCATTGGGGAGAGCGAGGTGAGCCAGCAGTGTGGCGGGGCAGGCCTGGAGGTGTGCAGGACTCAGGCTTGCCTGGACCCTGAGGGCGGGTGGATGTGACTGCTGAGGGTGTGGGTGTGGTAGATGGTGAGGGGTGACCTCTGAGCTGGCCCTGGTGGAGACTGGGCCTGTGGCCCTCCCACTCTGCCACCTACACTGTTCCCTCCCCAAGCCAGGCTGTTCAGTGCCTTCCTGCAGACTCCAGCCTCATGCACTCACCCAGCCACCCAGCCCATTCTCTCTGCCTGGACAGCCTGTTCGTTGATTCCTTTCTGCAATCTCGTGCGTCACCCAAAATAGAAAATAAAACCAAGCATGGGCCGGCCCGTGGCTCACTCGGGAGACTGCGGTGCTGATGGCACCAAGGCCCCGGGTTCGGATCCCATATAGGGATGGCCGGTTCGCT